ACATAAATAAATCTGAAAATTGTTAACAAAATATAATGTATAAATAATTTACCTCAAATCTAATGCAATTGGTGACTTCTGGCATAGCGTATAATTCTCGAAGTACACGAATAATCGCCATAGTATAAGGATTCGGCAGAGCAAAAACAATAGAGTCAACAGCTCCTCGCAAGACCTTTGCAACAAAAGGAACCACGTGTCTTTGTGGAACGGGCCCTTTATGATAGGCTTCGAAAAGTAGATCTTTTAAGTTTATTTCATCATGCAAAAGAGGCTTATTACGAGCAAGTGAAATCATTCCCAAAAAACTTCCGAGATTCTTCAGTGCAGATCGGGCGCTAGCGTCATCCTTGTCAATCCGAATGTTTCTTAAGAGGGACTAAAGGGGATAGATAGAGAAGCGGCCTTAGCACAAAAATAGTAGTAAAGTTAAGTGAAAGGAGGAAATTCTCACTTTTATATTTCGCATCAATTCATCCATGACTTTGAGTCTGATCTCAGGAATACGATCTTGAACATAATCTACGATTGTGCTAAATAATTCGTGGAAAGTGTGTTCCATGACGACGCGCTTGCTGACTAGATAATGAGCAAACCAAGAAAGGAGATGAGACGGCTCACTAACAACTGAGGTAGAACCAGATGATTTTGTTGCTCCATGTTCTTCAAGTAAGCTTATAAGCTCATTTGATTTTTCTTTGGCATTTGCTTTAGTCACATTATTAAAGAGAAAATATACACGGTCAGAAACGATCTCCTCTGGTTGTTCAGGCGGTTTGTATGGAGGATCTGGGGTGGGACATGTGAGCTGCAGAGCACCTCCCAAAATGCCTCCAGTAGGCAATTGTCCTCCAATAGCACCAGAAGCAGAAGTCATGGAACTACCGACAGCGATATTAGCGATTTGTAGGCCGGACTGGTAGGTTCCACCAAGGTGGCCGGTGGTCAGACGATGGAGTAGTTGCTGTTGTTGGTGATGCTGATGCTGCTGTTGTTGCAAATGAAGTGCATGCTGTTGCTGATTCTGGAGTTGATGGTGCGGTTGACCAATAAGCAGCTGAAAAAAGTATAAATCGACACAGGCATTGTTATTTTTATAGCTGTTTATAAGAAGCGTTAATGAATAGTAAGAGAAAAGAAGAAATCGAGATAGCCTTAATATAATATTCTAAGTAAATCGTCAATTTTTTCTTAAAAAACGCAAAATACACTTATTCCATTTTTTTATTTTCAATTCCATCTATTGGATATAAGGAAATTCTCAAATTTTGTCCGAAATAAGACATATCGAGATAAATAAAATTCAAATGATCAAGAAATAATAAGTGAAAGTATAGTCTAAAAAAGATGAGGCAAAGGACCCTCACACAAATAAGGGAAGACTCAAGACGGCAAATATTTTAGTTTGAATGGCATCGAAAACTGGGAAAAAAGTGCAGACTAAGAATAAGATAAATCATAAATAGCGAGGCAAAATTAACCGGAAAAAATTAATACAAAAATAAAAATTCAAACATATAATTCATACAATTAAAATTACCTTTTGATTTGCTGCTGCAACCAATTGTTTGACAAGAATATCTGCGTTGGCGATATGCTATGGTAATTAAAAAAATGGTTATTTAAATAACTGCTTAGCAAGTAAAAAATGTAAACATGAAGATAGTGTGGCCCTCTGTGTGGTTGCATTCACTTGTAGCTTCAGAATACAGGTTAGATTTCGTTTTAGCCACTTGATTGGAGCACCAGAGAACTTAAAGAACTTACCTAGTCATAGTACACGTGATTTGCTCCGTCGGACAATTGATATGATACATTTCCTAACATTTGGCAGCATCGACAGTGAGAGGCTCCATCACTAACACAGAGTTACAACTTATGGGTGACAAATTAAGCCCAAATTTCAGTTCAACCCTGTGACATTCCACCTCGACCCTATTTATTTCCCACCTTTTACATGTTCAACCAATTTCGTGTTCTCATTTCTTCCTATGTCGGCTAAGACTGTGTCGATAAAAGAGGATTGGAGAGATATTATCATCATTAGCACCGATTCAAGATATCATTTGCGGGGCTTCTGAAATACAATGAGCCCTGATTGTCTGATGATGATCCGATACTGAAAATCACGAACATTATGGCACAGGAAGTTTGACTAGATAAGTTCCACAAGGTCTCCGTGATGCTCCGATATAGTTATGAAAAGATGAAACCAACGCTTAAAAAAAATCAAATGTGGACTGACGTCGAAATTGACTAAATATCTCCTTTTATTTGTCCTGTCTGAATCTCCAAATATGTACAGGTCGTACGTAAAATTCTCGCAGATTCTTACCTTTTCGAATCCCATATTTATCAGATTTAATTGAATGAGAATGCCCAGGGCTTCCCTGATCTTCATCAAATTGATAATCTCTCCCTATTAGGACAGTCCTTCTCGTGCACTCTACCCAAATCTGTGACCTGTGATGATATAATGCTCAGCTGGCACCTGAATAGTTTTTTAATATTCTTAAATTCTTGTGCTGAATGTCCGATATACTTTTGTTCCCTAACCTTGCTGCAAACTCCTTCGTGTTGAGTGGACAAGCTGGTGAAGAGGATTGTCCTTTATTATAGGATTAAACGAAGCTTTGATTTCAATA